TGCCACCTCGGTTCAAAGCCCCCCAGTGCCACCTCGGTTCAAAGCCCCCCAGTGCTCCGAACCCTAAACCCTAAACCGTTGTCAGACTGGCAAGCTGCCACCTGTCGACGAAGTACTGTAAGAACCAGATCAAGAAACGGTGGATCTTTGTCAGGGCTCCTTTTAACTGGGTTGTCTTTTGGTATCCTTTTTAATTTCCCTTACTATTTTGTAGAGAACCATAATAGTAAATAATTTTCAAAGGGCTTGAAGGACAACTTAGTTAACTGAAGCAGACATCGGGTCTTTAAATTAGGGCTCTTCGTTGTCGGGACCAGGGTTGCTGAATCAGGTTGCTGCAGTAGTTGAGTAAGAAATCCTAGGCTCTCCAAACCTGAATCCCACAATCTGTATTTAGGGTTTAGGGTGGAGAAAACCCGGCCCGACATGCAGCGAAACGCCTCAGGTTCAGGGTTTAGGGGCCCACTTCCTTGTGCAAATACCGCTCCATACCCGAAGGCGTGAATAGTTGGTAAAGTAAAACGATGGGCTCCCATATGTCCAGTATAAAGCCCCCCAAACTCTAGGGCTCCAGTTACCTAAATCGTAGGTTACTAACTATATAGTATATACCCCAGTAACCCATTATTTATGGGTAGCTGGAGGCCTAGGGAAATTTAAATATCTGGTCTACCTATTCAGGCGCCTGAAGTCGTGGCCCGTGTCTTTTAAGCTTCACTTAAAGCTTTGTGCTGATAACCCGTAGGGCTCCAAAAAAGACTTTGTCACCATAAACCTTCAAACCTGAACCCTAAGCCCCCCCATTCTAATATAGATACCCTTCAATTCCAGACTACACCTTAAATCACAATGTTAAGGCATCTATAATTTCAGTGAACGTCCGCTCGCCCCTTCCCCGGAACCCTCAATTAAAGGAGCTTGTAGTTTCCTCCTATAGGAACCGATACCCTAAACCCTAAACCCGGCTTTAGGGAGCGCCCCGAAAAGGTAAATGTCCGCTACCCCTTCCCCGGAAAGCATTGGTTCGGCTGCACTGGCGCAAACTTGGAGGCTCCAGCAGCGGGGAGTTCCTTCTTAGTGGGTGTTGCGGTTTAGGGTATAGGGGAGTCCGGTGGCAAAAAAGGGCTTAGGGTGTGTGTGTGTGTGTGTATATATATATATGTATATCTATAGAGGACTTAGGATAAGGGCCAGGGGAGAGTTCCAACTGGTTTTAGTAGGCTTTTAATCGGGTTTGTTGAAGAGGGTTCGTAGGGTTTATGAGTTCCTGAAAGGACTCCTGAAAGAGTTTAGGGCGCAGGAGCTTGGATCAGTAGATACGTAGATATATATGGTATGCCCTGAACTCTCCACCGAACACCCTAGTTAGATCAGTAGGTCGACAGGCCGACGCACCGGTTGATCGGTCGGATTTACAGGTAGACAGACAGAAAGCTGGATAGGTAGGTGGGTAGATAGATAGACAGGCTGGTTTAGGGTTTAGGGTTTAGGGTGGTAGGTAGGTGGCTGGGTAGGTAGACAGACACAGACAGGCAGACAGACCGACCGACGGGCCGACGGACCGACGGACCGACAGACGGACAGACGGACCGACAGGCAGATAGATAGGTAGACGGATAGTTCGGCATACTCCCATATACATACTTAAATAAGTACTACACATATATGTATATATAGATAAATATGCATGCGCACAGCATTGGGAGGTCTTGTTCATTACGGCGTTTGGGGCTTGAGGGTGAGCGGGATTTTGAGCTTGGTTTTTTCTTGGGGTGGGCAGAAGTCACCCAAGCTGGCGAATGGGTACTGTTTATGAACCACCAACACCCGGCCCTATCCATGAAGGGACTATATGCCATGCATGGTTCCCTAAACCCTAAACCCGTCATTATACATCTCCAACCCCAGAGTTTAAACCCCACAGCAGCCGTAACAGTCCTCCAGTCGCCCTAAACTTCAAACTCCCTGAGCTTGCAACCCTTGGGCACTGAACCCTTTGCTCCGTCTGCCTTGGGCCTACCCATAGGCCCCATAGTAGTTCCTTTTTGGGGATTACGAAATAAGATCCTAAATATAAGCCACAAAAAGGACCTACTATGGGGCCTATGGGTAAACCCCAAATATCCTAAACTCTAAACCGTACAAGCCCTGAGCTTCAAACGCGCAGGCGCGACGAAGGGGTTTGGAGGCCTTCACCAACTACGTAGCATTGAGGCCATGGTGGGTCTTCGTTTAGGGTTTAGGGTTTAGGGTTTCTTGCACGAGTGCGATGTGCTACGAGGGACATTGGCCGGGCGAGCTCCAATCAAGCCTGTGTAAAAAAGGGGTTTCTTGCAAGCCATTTACTTGTCATATAACAGTATTCGAAACACTAAACCAGATGAAGGGGTGTTTCCAAGAAAATTCCGGCTGGTTAGGATCCGGAATTTGGGTCCACTTGGTTGTTGTCTGCATCTGGAAATATGACCCTTGGGTTTTCGGGCTTCGGAGTAAGGTTCAGGGGGTTAGGGCTTTGGGTTAGAAAAGAGGATAGGGTATCCGGATTAGGGCTATGGCTTTGGAGTGGAGCTGTGGGGTTGAAGGTTGTGGGCAGTGTGGTCACCATCTCTGGCCTTTGCTTCTGGGTTTAGGGTTTAGGGTTTAGGGGTTTAGGGTTTAGGGTTTAGGTTTTCTTGGTTATGCAAAAAGCTCCATGACGCTCAGGATCTGTCGTGCTTGTCCTGCATCTTCCGGTTGGGGGTGTTGTGATTTTCATAGCCTGCAGCCGCCTGGTACGGTCCACTTCCAGATTTCTAGAACCGGAAGCCTGAAGGCCTCCAGGTACAGACCCTTAAAGACAAGTAATCTTTATCGCAAGATAGCTCTGCCAGAATGATGCTTTCGAGGTACCCCCCATTCCACATTCCCATATATTGAGCTGCAACCTGATGCAACCTTGGGGCATAACTGCATAACTTCATCAGTGGCCACACCCGCGATCGAGGTTTACCCACCATGGAGTGCCAGCGCACTTGAACAACATCATGCATGCCTTCCTGGAGAACGGGGCCTCTTGGCAGACCAAGTTTCAAGCAGGAAGCTTCACACCCGTCACCCCAACTTGATGGCAGCCCATAAGAGCAGGCAGTGCATGTAAACCATTGCCGATCACGGGCGCTTCTGCTGCTGCTGATGCCGACCAGAGGCATGGTGACGTGGTTTAGTACCCAACCAGCCTGAAGTTCAAGATTCATTGCTTCCCCCCCCCAAGATTTAACTGAAACAAGCGCTCGTCAGAGTTGTTGTTTTTTTTGTTTTTCTGTGTGTGTGTGTGTGGGGGGGGGAGGGCGCCAGCAGCACCAGCAGCAGCAGCAGTTTCTGTGGTCGTCGGTCGTCGATGCGGCCGCCGTGGTGTTAAAAGAAACAAGATGAGGTGCTGTAGCTGTAGCAGTTGAACGAGAACTTTGCCATCCCATTCACGGTAAGCATCTGTATAGCGTTTGCAGCAGAAGGCCGTGGCTTCCCTTTTTCGCCGCCTTTTTGGGTTGCTTGTGCATCATGTGCTCAAATCTCGAAAGCCGACGTCTCGCATCTCTCAAAGAGCTGCCAGACATCAGGGTCTGGGCACCTTAAGTTGTAGGGTTACTGGCCTTATGTTCGGTCCCCAGTAAGCCATTATCCGGGTAACTGGAGCACTATGACGGAAGCATCATGACACAACTTGTGCAACTCAGGCCGTTCAGCTTGCCGCGCCTCCCGCGGCACAGGCCAGAGATAGCCAAAGATAAGGCCCCATGCAGACAGCAGGGAAACAGCGGCGGCACAGGTTGCTCCACGGTTTAGGGTTTAGGGTTTAGTTTACAGTATCTACATAGTTGTCATGTGTGGTGATTTTGCTGGATTTCGCCTGAGGTTGGTTTGACTGGCATGAATCCAGTAGCTCCTAGACGTACTCCTAAACCCTGAACTGTAAACCGTAGCGCCTGAAGGGTCATTTTCTCTTGAAAAGCCACAGAACTGCCTTGGTGGAGACCTGAGTTCCCGGAAATCTGGGATGTAGCCACACCCCGGCCAGGATTCCAGGGTTTTAGGGTTTGGGGCCTGGGTAGGGTTTAGGGTTTAGGGTTTAGGGTTTAGGGAGAGTGTAGGGTTTATTGCAAAGCAGTCTGGGGCCCGTTGACTCTAACAGATGCGGCCTTCCCTGTCTATCAACCAGGCCTTCATTCCCCCGTCCCAAACTCTGAACCTGCAAAACCCAACACCCCTAATCCCTAAACTCACAAGAACCCTGCAGACCCAAACCCTCATGAACCTAAACTCTGCAGGGTTCAGGGTTTAGGGGTTTAGGGTTAAACCCTAAACCCCTGAACCCAAAACCCTGAAACCCTAAACCCTAAACATGGGCAACTTGCAGTGTCACGCCGACTTATGCACCTATGGATCCTCGCCTGGCTTGTCCGAGTTGTGAGAGTGTAAATCCTAAACTTTAGGGTTTACTGCAAATCCCCAGGGAGCCTATCCTGCCCTTGCGGCCGCTCCGAGCGCTCCCGGCGCTTCTGCGCCCTTAGCTCCGGCCATGGGCCAGGTCCTGGAGGCCAGGTGGTGTGCTTTACCCTGAGGTTTAGGGTTTAGGGTTTAGGGTTTAGGGGTTTAGGGTTTAGGGTTGAGGGTTGAGGGTTTAGGGTTTAGGGTTTAGGGGTTTGGGTTTAGGGTTTAGGGTTTAGGGTTTGGGGGCCCATGTACCCAAATGGTAGATACTTTGGCCTTAAAGTAGTCCCTATAGAGGTACTTTGGGGCCAATGGCTATGCTATATGAGTACATGGACCCTTAGGGTTAGGGTTCAAGACCAAACATTGAAAAATAGCATTCTGCTGCACAGGTAACCATAAGCCCTCAACCTTATCCCGCAAGCCGCAAAGTAAACCCACAATACTGAATCCTAGCATTCAGCCTTCAACCCTAAACCCTAAACCCCTAAGCCCCAAACCCTAAGCCCCGAAACCCTGAATTAAAGGAAGCTACAGCTGGGGAGTTTAGGGTATATAGGGCTTCTATGGGCTTCCATAAGGTATATAGACTTTCTATAAGGCTCCTATAACGGTAACTACCCACCTGAAAATGTCCTACATTGGATTGGAGATACTATAGGGGCCTCAATAGTTACCAATAACATTTGGGCGGGTTCCTTGTTATATTTATGGTATAATGGGCCCCAGTCGACTTATTCAAGTTATTTAGTCAGCGGACTTTTCCAGCCAGCTATGT